CATCATCATTTACCCAGAATGCTTTGTGTGTAAATGAAATAGCTCCGTCCGTGTTAAAATTTATTTAAAATTATTTTTAAAAATTTACAAAACTAAACATCCTACAGTATTTTTAGTCTTTATTTTACAGTTAAAATAAATGTTTATCAAATAAAGTCTAATGATACAACTCATCAGGGATCCCTTTAAAAATATGGACATTCATTCAGATTGCTTTAGTGGGTTGACCTGTTTTCAAAAACAAACTGTGTGAAAACAATAAAAAAAAAATTTCAAGTGATGGTCTCAGCTGTAACTGTACTTTGTGACAAACTCGAGTTGCGTAATCCTTCAGTTTGACAAACTGCACATGTTCCCCTCTTTCAGAGAGGCAGCCCGTGAATGTCGACGGAAGAAAAAGGAATATGTTAAATGCCTGGAGAACCGTGTCGCTGTTCTTGAGAACCAAAACAAGACTCTGATTGAAGAACTCAAAACATTAAAGGATCTTTACTGTGTTAAAACGGGATAACCCCTTTGTGTGCAGACCAAGGATTGAGACGGTGTCAAAGCGGCACGCTTCAGTCGTTTGGACGTCGGGGTTTCTGGGAACACTTCATTTCAGGCTGAGAGTCTCCAGTTTGTGGTCGTTTTTGCTTTGTTTTTGTTTTTTGTTTTTTTTACTCTGAAATAAAAGTGACTTATTACAGTGAGACTTACTGGACAAATTGGCCATTTTTCCCAACTGCTGTTTTTTAAGAGAAAAAAATGAATGCTAATGCTATAACATTTATAGTTGTGTACATTTTTAATGCTGGGAAGTTTGAAATTATGAGCTTTAACGTTGAGTCTCAGTTTCCAAATGTATCCCTTTTCCTTTCTTTTGTATTTTTTTAAATGTCACTGTTGGCTTTGGTAAAGCTACCAGCAGCTGCAGAACTTTGACTGTCTAATTATCACACAGACATAATTTCTGTTTATCATATGAACTAGCAATTCCCCTCTTTCCTGTAAGGAGGTGTTACATTTGTCATTCCTTATATTTGTGCAATGGAGTGTAAAGGGTAACAGAAAAGATGACATTCTGTTTGGTTACTTGGCAGTTTCTTAGACAATCAGGGAAGAAGAAAAAAGCACAGAGTCCAGGTAATATTTATTATGTGCATCTTGGGAGAGTGGGAAAGAACAAACTATGATTTGTTGCTGATTCTGTGACTAAATAAATATATTTTCACTCAGAATAGTGTGTGGCTGTTGTAACAGTTGAACAGTTTTTATGCTCACACCTGCTGCTTGTGTATTGTGTGTAATTGACTTAAAAAAACGTCCTCATGGTGCGACATCTTCAAAATATGGAAAACTTACACTCACCGGCCACTTTATTAGGTACACC